AAGTGGTTTGCGCGTGTTTCGTAATTTTCTGCGACGTATTTTCGTGTTTCGTTTTTTCGTTCTACATCATTTATGGTAAGGGCATATTAAGTGTATGCGTATATATATAACATTGATAAGTATTTAAAGCCAATCAATTCAGAAAAGAAGTAAAAATATTTTAGACTTACAAGGCCGAATAGCAAACAGCCTGCGCCATATCTCCTAATATATTGCTTCATTTATTTTCGTAATAAGATACCAAAAGCCCCGCCTTGTTGCAATATGAAGTTTTATCTCCATTTTCTATAGGATTCGTTCTTGGCTTTATCAATACAAAAATTTATCAATATATCTTGAAAATTACACCTTACAAGTTTAACGAAAAGAGAGAGAGTTGTTTAATCGATGTACGAAATTATGTTCACTGCAAACGATTCTTATTTACTCAGGACTATTTTGTGAATTGGTTTAAGTATGTCTCTCCCTCTTCCTTTCGTTGTTCTTTTCTTTTCTTCGTGTCTTTTCCTTTTTTCTTCTTCTCCTTTCCCCCTTCCACTTTTAATGCCCATTACAGAAGGATAATTTGTATATTCATATTGTCAAAACATCTGCAACGCCCAGAAGAAAGCCTTAGAGACCCCACAAAGTCTATATATTCTTGATCAGCATCAAATTCTGACTCAATGCCCGTCTGTTCATCTGACTATCTCTATAATGCCTATTTTAAACATTCTTCTGGCCGCAAAAATGAAACTATCGACTGCAAATTTTGCGGAAACATAGGAAGTTTTTACACAGGTTGAAAGTGGTCCGATTCGGTCGAAGGGCACGCCTCGAACGTACAACGTAAAATTAGGTCTTTTTCAAAACATATAAAATATTGGTTTTTTTCTTCTTACTCATAAACTACAGCAGATGAATTTACAAAAATTTGACTTAATATACTATGGACAATATTGTAGAACCTTTAAAAAAGGAAAAAAACGGCTGCGTCTACTTAATTTTATAGTGTGTCATATATTCATTTTTTTTTAAACTTCTATAAGGCACAGCAGCAAAATTCAAAAGCCTCAAAAACTATATAAATTCTTGGCCGGTTTCAAATTCGGAATGCACTTAAGCATTTAAAATTCCCATTCGTCTGTCGATCTGTGGGTAGTACACGTTCGAAAATATTCGCAAGGTTAAAAACTTTCAAGAGAGCTTGAAAATAACCCAAACTTTTCAAAAAACACGCCTACAACGCCCGCGCGCCTATGCGATGAACTTGTATTTTAAAACTAAAAAAAATCAGCCTCGCCCACTCCGCATTATAAAGCGTGAAAATTTCTTTTCTTTTCTTTTTTGTTCTTTTACTTATTTTTTGTCTTCCTTAATATAAGGGTGACGGATATAAGAGATTTGGTTACGACCGAATATAATTTTTTTACTTGTTTTGTTTTTCACTCATATGATTGAAAACAGCCTTGCAAATCTTTGACTTTGCCAATTTTACCCGCAAACCATCTCCATCGCCGAAGCGAGCTGATTTTGGTACCAAGCTGAGCTGTGGGCGTACAGAAAGACTAGCAGTTTATCATATCACTTTTGAATGTTATTTCTAGGTTACGATTTGGAATAGCGTAAACGCTTTACAATAAGTTATAAGTTATTGATAGTATATGTATAAAATGATGTATAATTTTTGATGAAACACCAAAACGTACAGTGCCCATGTTAGAGAGGCTATGGATTGCGTTAGACACATTAATACGTCCGGCCAACGTAGAAATCTATCGATATTAGTGACCATATTTGGCTTTTTGCTTTAAATAAACTGGCTAATGTAAAAAATGCTGTTGATTTCGATGTTTCGGAACAACAGTTCTTGGAGTTTGTTTCAAAATTATGAATTAGTATTTTGACACTCATTTTATTTTTAATTCCCGCAGACAAATTTAGGGTATCAGTCGGTCTGTTTTGTCGAAAATGTCGTAATAACGGCATCCCGTTAGGCAAAATCGCGTGATCGCAAGAATAGCGGCTTGCCGCTATGCAATAAGATGAAAAAAAGGAAAAAGGTTTGAAAGGACAGTTTTGGATGATCAGTTAATGTTTGAGTCTTGTCTGCTGAAAGTCAATAAAAATGTGATGTGTGTGGTACAGAATTAATTCTTTATTTTCTGATACCGCTTGTTTTACTTATTAATTTGTTAATTTGTTGAGACAATAAAAGTTTTGTTTCTTTGATTGTTGTTTGGTCATCTGCTTAAAGAAAACGGGAATTTTTTTTACGTGAACTGATGGCAAAAATTTATTTGGATAAAGTCTACAATAACTTATAGACAATTTAAGGAAAAAGATTGATACCTATTTTAAATAAATTATTGAACAAGTTCTAATTAATAAAATAACGTCTTTTAACACGCGGAACGCTAATAATGTACGAGACGATTTTGCTAGTATTTATATAACGGGAGGAAATGGTAGCGGTGGGATTAGTGGTATTTTACGTAAAGTGCCTGGTCCTACCGCCGGTAACACTTCCTCCATCTTTTCCTCAGCAACAACTACAACAGCAACAACCATTAATATTGATGTAAATACAAAATGCATCGCATCAAGTCGATTTATTGGATTTTGGTTATGTCCGTGAAGTGTTTCGTGACGATATCAAGGCATTGGATATCGATCAGGGGAAACATTTAATACCATTGATGGGCGATCATAATCTTAAAATGAACAGCATTGTTGATGTGGTTTTAAAGGGAAACAATTAGCGGCATAAATCACCTAGCGTTATTTAAAAAATTAAAAAGTAAAAATGTATAGATTTTCTTTTTTTAGAATATATAAATCATTAAAATTGAAAAAGGTGCGGATTAATCGAAGGACACCTTAAAATGCGAAAATCGTGTTAGCTACCATCAACTTCCAAATTACCAAAAAAACTAACTAGTTATTTTTCTTAATGTGGTTAAACAAAACGGTCAAAATTCTCGATCAGTGTCAAAATCTTTCATTTATCGTCATTAGTACCATCAGTGCGCCTATCTCATTCATAACGCTTTATATTATATGCATTGCTAAGATATTCTTGTTTCAATACACACAAATTTTTCTCTGATTTTTTTCTGCACCTGCATACTTATCGAACTATCATTCTCATGAATTCTAAATATATTTATCACACCACTGTCGGAGCAGCTTTTCAAATAGATCGAAACTCCTCAAACCAACCACAAAACAAAAATTGCTTTCCCAGTGTGCTCATTAACAAACTGAAACTCCGTGATCAATACAAACCTCTTCTTTCCAAATTTTACAAAATATTGCAATATTGCCCTTCATTGGTACACAAATCCGAGCTCAGTTCGCTAGGAAACTAGAAAAGTTAAGCATTAAGCAACATCCCTGGACTCTACTAACGCTTTACAGCGTTATATAGCTGTGCCGATTTCTATAGAAAAATTTTTAACATTTCTATTTCATACTAGTACATTTTTACATGTTATTATTTCTGATAATGTGTTTTGATGCCATTTGAATGTGCTTTGATGTTGTTTTTCAAATAGTAGAAGATTGCGCACATATTATTGTTTAGCTTTCAATCCCAAAATTCCTAATATCAAACTATGTATATGATTTTAATGGACAAATTATGCCCACAGTTGTTGCGTTTTCCAACTTTTGTGAAACCATGAAATACTCAGTATTGAACGATCTCTTCCTTCAGAAAGAGTCTTGCATTTTTTTAGATTTAATTTCATAATATTTAACGGGCACCATGTAATCAAATTATTTAAGACAATTTGAAGTTGATACTATTGCAATTCAAAGCAGAATTAAGAAAACGGTTTAATATCGTCTTCGTACATTAAAATTTGGCTGAATTTAATCACCGAGGGGGGATCATTAATTTAATAAACGCATTTCACTAACAAAAGAATCAAATCCCAGATAGTGTAAATCGGATTCTAACAAGACACATCTCTTTATAAAATACCTAGAATCTTCCTCTCAATCTTTTTCTTTCAACAATCTTGACGACGAAAGAGTAGTTACAGTTCATCACATTTGCTTTAAAAAATGTGTTTCCTCGCAAGTCTTTCAAAGGCATCCCAATCCGTGAATCGGACTATATTAAGTACTTAGGCGTGCATCTACATAGAAAGCTGAAATGAAAAAATCACGAAAAGCAAAGAAAACACATTTGAAAATAAAAACAATACGTCTATATTGGTTGCTTGGTCAAAAATTAAAGTCAAGTTTGGAAAATAAAGCGCTATTATAAAAAGCAATTCCGAAATCCGTTTGGACATACACCGCAAGCTTTTGACTACTACAAGCAACTCCAACATTGAAATTCTTAATCGCTATCAATCCAAAAGATTTAGATTAATCACAGAACCTCAATGGTCTACGATAAACAAACATATTGATAAGCATTTGCGCACTCCCATAGTAAAAGTAGAAATTGTCAAGTTCATTTATCTTGATTGATTTACCCATCTTATCATTCGTAATAGGTTTACTAGCCGATAATGAAAAGACAAATAAGCTGAAAAGTTACCGTATTTTAGATCTGCCGTTTAGAAAATGAATGTAAATATATATGTATCTAAATACGAATGTTTTGTTACCTTATTATAAGATAGAAATAAATTCCATATGTAAATAAAAATCAGTATACATTGTCTAAAATTTTTATTCCCATCGGAGAATAAAGCTAATATAAATTTAAAACTGGTCTACTTGCGCATTATTGTAAAATAAATTACAAAAGAAAGTTCATATAAAATAAAAAATTAAAAAAGTAAATGTTGACTTATTTTTTTCGCATTGTTGTTAGTTGAAAGACTACACACGTTGAATACAGGCTAAAATACGAAATTATTCAAAACAAATAGCTCTAGGCATTCGCAATGTCCTGTTTTCTCACGTATGTATAAAACACTAGTTTTTAATATAACTCTTATATAAACATAAGTGTTCAGCTTTAAATCTGTAAGCACAAGCAATGGCTTTCAAATGCTTACCGGGTCTACATCTTCTAGTTAGGTAAGATTTATTTCTTACTGTAACAATATATTAAAGGATTGATATCAATCCTCATCAATCATCAATAATCAATTGCATACGTCGTCGTCAGAGAGATCTCCGATAATTTTCAGACAGAAGGTATGTCGTAAGGAGAACAGCTTTCTCACTTGTCGGAGATATCTTATTTCTCTCAAAAGCACCTAAGGGATATTATATATGTATTATATGTATGTAATGTAAAATTACAGGTCGTTTTAGCCATGTCCGTCCAGTACTCTGCCATGTATTATTGGGATGTCTTAGGTAGTAAAAGTTGAGACAAAAAACCTAGCATGTGCAAACGTAGTCGAAGGTCGCAGCCCCATTAGGAAGAAACTGTAAATTGCAACCATATTTGCAAATATTGCTCAACAAAGGATTACACAATTATCTATATAGATTTTAATTAATGGATACCACTGGTTCGCTCCACCGCGTATAATTTTCTGCTTGTTAAAGATACCAGAGAATAAACTGCGCTCTAACGTGAGTATGATAAAATAACGTATCACATTGAACAGACATTTACATATGAATACGACAAACACTGGCACTTGTTAATATTTTTATAAGTTCACAGTCAATGGTTAAGTAATAGACTAATAGGCATTAAAAGGCCAAATTTTTTTACTTGCTATTTTTCCCCCAAAAAAAAACAAATATGTACACCAACTTTCTAAATTATTTCTAATTAGATGCATCTGAGGTCAAATTAAAAGTGACAAACAAAATGTATATTTGTATCACTGACTGAGAAAGAAAAAATTAAATCAACCATTTTTGGGGTTACAAAATATAAAGCAAAACGAAATTGACTGCGCGTGAACAGATTTCATATTGGAACAAACGTTTTATACGGTCTGCAGGTAATGAAGTATAATTAGATAGAATTGTTGTATGCAAGCTTCCATTGTCCCGTCTCGCTTGATATAGGTGTACGTCGAAACCGTTTTAACAGTTTCAGACTTAATTTCTTATTTTATTTTTATTACTTATTCGCCACTTTTTTATTTCATCGTCTTTAGTGGATTAATAACTCTTTTATACAAAAAACACCCACTATTTTGTTTTGATTTTAATTATTTTTAACATTGACTAAAAGACAACTCACGACTGTATATATGTCGCAATCCAGAAACAAATTCGGTTAAAGACAGTTTGAAGAATATGTATGTATATAGAGAGTATACTATGTCTTTATTTTTTTCATATAAAAATTTTAGTTATTACTTTTTCTGAGCGTTTTTTTTTTTTTGTTTTTTTAGTTTGGAAAGAGCTTGCTATAATGAAAAAATGCACTAAAGAGAAAGAGTGTTGTCTTTGCAGTGCGCGGTTTCGCTAACCAAATTTTACTGTTTTGTGAATATGCCAATTTCACAAGGATATGCTTAAAGAGAAAAGCACATGTTTTCAGCCGAATGCAATGGGAGACAGAAATTAATATTTTCAATAAGAAAAGATATAATTGATTGAAATATATCTGTAGGCAATGGTAAAGTAGTGCGCATGACAAAAATTAAGATTTTAAGAATTAGTTTACCGGTGATTACAGCTTTCCTATTGCCATCACATGTTTTTGATGAAATAGGTGATTTATGCAAATCTCACAGCGATTCCAAGATTAAATTTATTAAAAAGTAAAATTTTTACTTATTGATGATGTTACGAATAGACCTGGAAATTCCTAACATTTCACATGCAACTGAAGATCGACAAAAAATTTCAGCTCCATAACTTATCAGTAACATTTCTTAAACATTAATTCTTTCAGTCAGTGCAAAATGAGTCCTTCCTAAGAGTGTTGTATGTAAAAAATGGTTGTCCTCAAATTGTTTTCCGAAGTAAAAGAGGCTGCTATAAGCAGAACAGAAGATGGAATCATTCGGAATAACTCTCCTTACATAATCTCGGGCATCCATAAGTTGAAGCGAAAAAATAAAAATCTCAACTTATTTTGCATTACATTTTGTTAGATGCCCGTTGTAAATATTCTAGCGCCATATATCTAACGTTGTATTGACGAAAATATAATTACAATTTATTTGGAAGATTATAAACACTGTAGAGGACTGTAGCACACTGGTTTTGCAATGTGTTTGAAAGTGGAATAGGAATACACAAAACTCCAATGTTGCATCTGGATTGCAACCTCTGTTTCAGAATCTTAAGTCACTGCGTGCTTAATACTACATGTATATACGTGTATATATGTATATATATATATGTATATATATGTATATGTATATATATATATGTATGTATATATGTATATATATGTATATGTATATATATATATGTATATATATGTATATATGTATATATGTATATATATGTATATATATGTATATATGTATATATGTATATATGTATATATATGTATATATATGTATATATGTATATATGTATATATATGTATATATGTATATATGTATATATGTATATATATGTATATATATGTATATATATGTATATATATGTATATATATGTATATATATGTATATATATGTATATATGTATATATAT